AGCAGGATATCGTTATCAGCGATTTACTCTGGAACACGGTATCGTTTTTAGTGATATCACTCTGGAACAGGGTATAGTTTTCAGCGATTTTACTCTGGGATCAGGGTTTGAGGTCCCAGCGGCACACCCCACAATACGTCTAATGTCATGGTCTAAAAACACGTTTTCACACCTTCACCTTAAGACATGTCATTGTGAAAGAACGCCGTGTGTTTTAAAAGGTGTGGAGAGAGAGACAGTTGCAACACAAAGATTTAACGCGCAAGCGTTGTTGCGGAAACGACATTACTCTCGTGGTACTTTTTTCGAAATCACGTTTTTTTTAATTCGAGAATGTTGCGGGTTAACGTGCGTTACGTAAGGACATTATCTAAGCTGAAAACCGAAATATCACAACATTTTGTTGAAGAACAAAGAAATAACTGTCGAATTAGCGGGCTGCTAAGACACCAAAAGCTGCACTCGTTGCACCGCAAAGATTCAAAGAGTGAGCATGGTTGAGAAAAACACCTAGACAGAGGCACACTTGTTATGTTCGAAATCACGTGTTGTATACAGAAAAAAACGGATATCTGCACCAAAATTGGCCAGGACTCGCGCTACATCACGTTTTAGCACCTCCATATTTAGAGAAGGAGAGTAGGTACAAAAGAGTGCCCTTATTTCCTTTCTGCAGTTGTAGCAAATCGCAAAATCAACATAGCGAACATTACCGTAATGCTCGACGGCTTTCAGCATGGCCTGGGCGACTTCTATGTGATGCAAGCAACCTTTTACTGCAAATCTCAGAATTTTAATATGACCTGCATGTTCAAAGTAAAACTAGACCCACGGGATCCAGCAACGTTGAAGACGTATTTCTATCATAACCGCGTCCATGGCCTGTGTTGGGACAATGACGATGAAGATCAGGAMAAGTTTACCAATCATCTGGCGACAGTGACCGCGGAAAAGGAAAACCCTTCAGCATGGATGCTTCCCTAATATAGAAACTCGCCCGGTACGATGTAGTCGAAGTTCATTGTAATCGGTCCTAATCGACGTGTGCTCTGTATACTTGGAATTCATGTGTATTTATCGACTTGACGAAACCCGACTCGTTGCAAAATCGTGTTYAACACATCTACCTGGTCGAAAGTCACGGACTACGCGTCAGTTATCGGAACGTGCCCCATCACGCAACAAAATCGTGTTGCGTAGAATCATTAAGAACTGTCACCATAGAAGTAGTTTACTGTGAAACAAATGACAATAACATGACATAACAACAAAAAGTAGACTCTTTCTTCATACCTTCTTTGGTGGTGGTGGCATAGGTGCAACGTAAGTTTCAGCAATAGCCTGAATCTTTCACTGCTGTTAAGTTCAATTGCTATAGCTTGCTCAAAGCTTGATCAGAGTAAACCAAGGATTAAATCTTAAAAGCTATAAGGCTATTTAATTGTGCTTTCTTTTGTGTAGAGTAAAGACTATCTTGAAAATGGGAAGGTGAAAGAAGCCTTCTTCCAAGCCAAGATAGCCTTGGTTTCTTCAGGTGAGAGTCTTACATAAAATCCCAAAAAATATATCAATACTGAAGAGTTTTTTTTTGATAAAATTTTGATTAAATTTCAGAAAAAGCTTTCTTTGATCCTTCCATCTTGGCATTGCTGTACTTTCCTGATGACCAAAAGTATGTATCACCAAGTTAAATTTGCAAATGTTTTAGTCTTGGATTTAATTTGATCAGTATTTTTCAATCAATTTTTTTTTGTTCTACAGGTATGCTATCTATATCCCGCTGTTTCTTCCCATCAGTCTTCCTGTGATAATATCATTGTTCAAAGGTGCAAAATGGCTAAAAAATGGTGATCAACCTAAACCAACAGATGAAAAGAAAAATAACTAAATATTAAAAAAAGATAGAGTAAATGCAATTGTACTGAGACATATAAATACCGTGAAACTTAATCAAAATAGTGCTTCACTGAGCCAGAACAGTGAAACAACAGGTAATGGCATACTTAACAAATAGATCTCATTTTTCCGTGCGTGTGTACTCTAATAGATACACAGATGACGTCAAAATGTAGTGAGAACAAAAAAGTACGCACGAGACGCAGTCAAGTGCGTGACTGTTGTTCTCACTACATTTTGACGTCATCTGTGTATCTATTAGAGTACACACGCACGGAAAAATGAGATCTATCTGTTTTATACAACAAACAATTAGTTTTGACGTAATCCGTGTATCTATACTTTGATAACACACGAAAGCCAACCAATCAAAACGTCTGATTTTACTGAAAAGTTGTATAAAGACTAATAGACAATACTTCTTTGATTTTGTTTCACAGTAAGTGAATTTACTTTATAACAAAGAAAAAATACTCTTTAAGAGGATATCTGGCACAGCGTTACTGCCTCACGACAACAAATTACTAGTGAAACAAACAGTAATTGGGTGGTTAAACATTTAAGTATAATAAAGAAAGAACTTGATCACTATAGTCACTTAGCAGGCTGACTGCCCTTCAAATAATCTTTCACAAAAAACTGGGATGTTTTTTTTTATTAAAAAATATTTTGTAAGATGCATTTTGTCATTTACATGAGTAGACACTTATAGTACAAAACAAATGATCTTTTAAATAAGGTACTGGTGGTGTATATATTGATTAAATATTTTGTACAATGTTGGAATAAATGCCTGGTAGTATTATAAAGTAAGTTTTGAAGGCATAAAAATTGTGAAACTGATGGTCCACTCATTACCCTCACCTAAGTTACTGTACTGGCAGTTGGCAGTGAACATCACTTACTACTGGCTGCTGGTACAATTTAATAATTACACATGTGAATATATGTATCGTTTTCGAATGACTGCAGGCACTAACGACCACTGGTACAACTATAATACAACTRTGAATGTATGTCTCATTCTTAAACGGCTGCAGGCACTAAGGACCATTGGTACATTCTATTATACAACTACATATATATCTGACTCGTTCTTAAACGACTACAGGAACTAACGGCCGTAAATTGTACAGTATCCGAGGTAAGGATGAGCGGTATTCTATAGTTACTCCAATTTGTCATTTGTGTAGGAATAATATACTTAGTTTTGTGAAAGACTTGAATACCTAAATGTTTTTATTGTAATTATTTACAACTTTAGAGATTACGAAAAACAAAATTATCCAGTACAAGTTTATCTAATGATATTTTTGCAATATTATAAATCCTAGGATGTGTGCTGTATGGGTTTTTCTGTTTCTTAGTGAAGCCAGCAGCTTGGATTTGCCCTGAAATAACAAATATTGATCATATTAAATAAAATATCACATTTGGATATTAATTTACTTC